ATTCATGCATTTTTTTTGACAGGTAATGATTAATAAGTGGCGTATTATGTAGCCTACTCTCTCTCAGGATCTCAGGTATGTTATAGATAAGTGAGTGCTCTACCAACTGAACTTCATCCCCAGCCCTGCAACTGGAATCAACAAATTGCTATTGTTAAAGACAGCTTTACTGTACTATCAATAATTAGTGTATACAAGAATATACAGTTCTTGTCTGCTTAAATACCAGGAAACATTTCTTTGCTGCCTATGAGAATAGAAGTTGGCAAGTGTTCTCTACTATTATATATACCTGCTTAGGTAATTTGACTATTTTCAGAAATGAATACTCTGACAAAGCTACACAATTACAATGTAGTTTCATGGGTTTTAGACTTTTTAAAAAACACCCAGCTGTCTTCTAATGTAATATATCTTTAAAAAAAATTTTTTTATTTATTATTTTTTTTTGAGAGAGAGAGAGAATTTTAATATTTATTTTTTAGTTTTCAGCGGACACAACATCTTTGTTTGTATGTGGTGCTGAGGATCGAACCCGGGCCGCACGCATGCCAGGCGAGCGCGCTACCGCTTGAGCCACCACATCCCCGGCCCCGTAATATATCTTTGACAAATACCAAAATTAACATCTGGAAAATGAAGTATAATCAACAACAACAACAACAACAAAATCCAGTTTTTGGTTATAGTTAATTTAGTGATCTTCATAAGACTGTAGATTAGTAATTTACTAATTTAATCTTTTTTTGTATTACTTCATTGACTAAATCTTTTTTTTTTTTTAACATTAATGCATTATAGTTATACAGAAAAGTGGAGTTCATCTTCGTAAATGCATATAACAAAGTTTGCTCTATTTTAATCTCCAGCTGACTGAGGATTTTGAAGACTAACCAGTTTTCATTTTGAGGCTTTCATTGTGTAGGCAGGATGGTTGTATAAAGTTGCATCATTTTATTGTTTGTATAGACATCAATATACACATAGAAGTAATTTATGTGGTGACTAAGGGAAGTCATACTTTGGATCAGAGAAAAATAGAGGGGCAGGGAAGAAACTATGGTTAATGTAGAGTATTATTACCTAAAAAGCTGAAGTTATTACATTTATGATTTGTTTTTATTTTGGGATTTTTAAAAAATATTTTTTTATTTGTAGATGGGCAAAATAGCTTTATTTTATTTTGTTTTAAAAAGTGGTGCCAGGGATTAAACCCAGTGCCTCACACTTGCTAGGCAAGCGCTCTACCACTGAGCCACAACTCCAGCTTGGGATTTTTTTATTCCTATTTTTAGATTCCAAAAACATTCTCATTTTAGTGAGTTATGATGCCCTCCCTAATTCTCTTCCTGGCAAATACACCAAAATATTGACTGCTAATTCTGTATTGATTGACGTAATCTGTTTTGAAGTTTGCAGATTGATGAAACCCATAACCTGGGTACCACTGGTTTATTTTTTGTATTATATGTGAAGGTTTTTTTATTTTGTTTTTTAGTTCTTTTCCTCCCATGAGCAGTCTTTTCCCTTTCACCAACCTGGTCTTCACCAGTTCAGTTAAATTCTGACACTAACCATCTGGAGTTAACATAGTCCCCACAGGTTATTACTCAGTCTTACAAGAATGCCCTCACTTCAGACTCCAGCTGCAAATGGAGTGCACAGCCTGCCCACATGTCTGCCCAGCAACTACGAATTTCATAGTTACCCCAAATCCCATCTCTCTACCACCAATTCCCAGACCTCAGGAAAGTGCTTTGGTGTGTCTGGTTTACTGTGAAGGATACACTTCAGGAACAGCCAAATAGAAGAGATGTATAGGTCAAGGTATGGTGGAGTGGGGGACCTGAAGCTTCTCCTCCTGTTTCATACAACATGCTTCCAGCACCTCGAGGTTATTAATGGCATTGTTTTTATTTTGTTTTGTGTGGTGGTGCTAGGGATTGAACCCAGGGCCTTGTACTAATGGTGTTTTCATTACACTGATACAATTGATGAAATTCTTGGTCATTGGTAATTGAAGTCAATCTCCCCTCCCCAGAGTTGGAGTGTGTGGTGGGCTGAGTTCCAGTTCTCTAATCCTCCATTGGTATTTTTGGTCACCAGGCCCTACCCTTAAGCTATCTAGTAACCCCTACAGCCAGGAGTCATCTTATTATCTTACCAGAGACCATTATCAGGAGAGTCCAAAGGTTTTCTGAGATTTGTTCCTGGAACCAGTGACAAAGACTAAGTATTTTTTTATGTACCCCAGCATGCTTGTCTCTGGTGAAACAGATGCTGTGAAGAAGTAGGGGAGGATGGAGTGCAATGTCATTAACCTCAGGGACTGGGCCTTCACGAGGCTTCTCTGCTTGCCTGATATCTTCTAGAATAGAGTTATTTAGATTTAGCCTGTCCTTTCACAATTTGCCAAATACTCACATGGTTATTACTACTTCTCCAATAATATGTAAGTGCTCAGATCTTATTTTTACTTTTTTATTTTTGGCTTCTAGTACTTTTTGTTTTTAGAGTTGGATTGTATCCATGACATCTCGAAGATTTTATGTTCATCAGAAAACTAATCAGCTATTTTTTTCCTTTCATTTTTTTGACCTTTCTTGGCTTTCTGAATATGTTCATTTGAGTTGTCCTTATTACTGTGGTTATAACTTTCTCAGGGAAATTGAAGTAATCAGATGATTGTTGACTAAGCAGTTTGTATGTAGAGTTTTGTCGTTGAATAACCTCAAGGGGTGGGTTCCAAGATCCCCTGGGGGATACCAAAATCTAAATGTGTAAGTTCTTTTCATAAAATCGTTTAGTATTTGCACAGAACCTCTGTATATCCTCCCATATATTTCAAACAATTTCTAGATTATTTATAGTACCCAATACAATGTAAATTCTGTGTAACTTGTTCTTATTTTGTTTAGGGATTAATGACGGGGGCTCTATACTTGTTCAGTGACTGTAATTTTTTTTTTTTTTCTGAATACTTTTGATCCAGGTTTGTGCCTGGAACCAGTGACAAACTAAGTATTTTTTATATACCACAGGTTTGTTTGAATTTGTGAACTTAGAACCCTTTGATATGGATATGCTTGATTAATGAAGTGCTTGCCTCAGCTGTTCAATTAAACCATGTGATACAATTTCAATATTTGGACTTTCTCTAGCAACCCACTCTGGAGCAGCATTATATCTAGCTTCCTTGATTTTAGATTTACTTTATTGTTTTTTTAAAACACTCTTTTTTTGCGGGGGAAATAGAGTCATCTAATTTATAAAATAAGCTATTACTTTAGTTTATATAATCTCATTGGGACTTTTCAAAGGTATATTATTTCTTGAACATTAGGTGACAGAATGTAGGCCCCAAAATACTGACTTTGGAAAATTCTGTTCTTTATTAACTTACAGGTTTATTAACTTATTATTTACTGTTAGTAAATTTGTTACTTAAGTTGTAAGCTGTAAGAAGAAATTTGCCTTCCCTTGTTTCCTGTAATTTTTGTATTGGATTATGTAAAAGTTCTCGCTTAGCAAGAATCTCCTTTGTGAGTGATGAAGAGATTTCAACTGCTGTAACTGTCAAATGTCCTTTAATCAACTTTAAAAAAATAATTCAAGCTTTAGTCATTGGCATGTTTCTATTTCCAGAAATATTTTACCAAAAAAATTTTGGACAGTACCACTGGGTTTGCTATGCCAATATTATTACAAGTTAGTTTTTGTAAAATTTCCTCAGTGGGAAACTGGGAAGTTATCACCTTGTCGTTCTGGCACAATTTATTTGTCAGTGCTTTGACCTCTTTAGGTTTCCCATGATCTTGTCATCAAATCCAGGAAAAGAGTGAAACACAATCCCCTCCTGCAAAGCTGCATTCAGTCTTAGATGGGTTGACAAAAGCATGAGTAAGGGGAAAGTGTGAAGGTGGCTTTTTGTTTCTGAGTATATTTGGGAAGAACCCTTATGATTTGTTTGACATCCTTGAAACTGAAATTGGTAGAATGAGTAGTGCTTTTGTCCAGGGTAGGGGTTTCCTGAGCCACCTGTGAGCATCTTCATTGACTACTGCATAAGCCTCGGAAATATCATAAGGCTTATTGATGTAGAGCTCACGTTATTTTAATTGAAATAATAGTCTGCATAGTCAACGTGCCTTTTTTTGTTGTTCACTTTTGGCATTTGATTAAAAAAAATGGCATGGAATAAGGTAATACTTGAATCAGTTTCTCACCCAAGAGTAAACAGCATATATGAAAGGTAAACCTGTTGCTTAATATGAAATTGACCAGTCCTCTATATTTTATCTCAATCTCATTTGGTAATTAATTATTGACATCAGTGGAACTAGGACTTAAGATTACCTCATAGAATTGGTCCTTTATTTTTTCTGTTTATCTATGGAGGTTAGAAATTAAAACCTAATAGGATACTTAGAATTCATCTCATTTTACTTTTACACTTTTTAAAGTGAAAACAAAAATGTTTAAGCACAGGATATTAACTTGCCCAAAAGGAAATAAGGATTTACTCACATCGTTGTTCCTTGTTAGTGGCAACTCCCATGTCTCAAGGGACAGATAGTGCTTACTTGAGTTTGTTCCAGATCTTGAAGTGATCTGATAATAAAGATATTTTGTCAGTAAAGAATAGGTAATTACAGACAGGTCACCTGTATGTAATAAACATATATTAAATGATGATTAATAAATTGTAAATTTTAGTTGCATTTAGATTAATGAATAAGATTCACATTTAGAAGAAAACATTTTTTCTGTTGCTTATCTGTCAGCTCCTTTGTGCATCTTAGTCTGTTCTTTTTGGTCCCTTATTACATTTCATGTTTTCGTTTGTCTCCCCCCCTAGACTCCACCCTTGAGCTGTTCGCTGCTATTTCTAGCACATAGTAATTGATCGACTGTCAAGTTGGTTTATCCTGACTTACATGGTATGTTGGACACCTAGTGTAGTATAAATACCTTATTTTTGAATATTTTCTTTTTTACAGTGAACAGAGTATCTGTCAGGCAAGAGCTGCTGTGATGGTTTATGATGATGCCAATAAGAAATGGGTGCCAGCTGGTGGCTCAACTGGGTTCAGCAGAGTTCATATATATCACCATACAGGCAACAATACATTCAGAGTGGTGGGCAGGAAGATTCAGGACCATCAGGTAAGAATCGATATATTTTTACTTTAAGATGATTTAATATACCTAAAAACTTAGTATATTCAGTTAAAAAAAAAGTAGTGCTTCAAAAACTAATCAAAATACACTGTCTGGGAAAAACTGAACATAGGTTTGCCTCCTCACCCTTTCTACTTTTTACAAAACCTGAATTTAGATGAAGATTTGGAATTAAATCCTATACAAACCTTCATTCAATCTTCTTGCCTTCCAACTAGCTAGTTTTTGTAATCTAAAGTAAAATCAGAACAAACAAAAATGAAGGACTATTTAAGAAACAGAAAATATTGTTAAATTTATATATGATAGGGAAAAAAATGGTAGATATTAAGGTTTCAATTCATACCTGGGATAATTCTCTACTCTGTATTTCCAAAAAACTAACTGGATTATCTGATTATGTGATTTCTTGGTCCCTAAGAGATCAGGAGCAATAGCTCGAGGGAAAGGTAGATAGGGTATTATTAGAATTAACTATATACCAATAGCAGCAAAAACTTTTATTTTAGATTTATAAAATACTTTTGGAAAAAAATTATTTTCCAAAGATGTTGGAATCAACAGATGTAAAAATTGTTCTGCTATACATGCAGGAAAAATAAAACAAATTTTCAATGCCCAATTGAGGTGTTAAAAAAGGTAGATCTCTAGGTTTGCCACTAGCACAGTGGTAGTAGAGTGTGTTAACAGATGCTGTAGTACCTTGAGTTTTAGGATGGAAATTATGAACTAGGGACTAGTTCATAGAAGCTAGGGACTTTGGTTTGTCATATGCATATGTAAGGTTTATGGGCCTATTAAATTTGGGCTGTGAAACTGAAATCTATGCAAAAAACTGGGATTCTCAGGGAGACTACATCCCATAAAAAGAAGACTAAGACAAATCCTTGCTATCAGGGCAGGGAGGCAAAGGAGTTTGTTTCTGTATGACCTGGTTTAGGAACTTTCCTTAGAAATGGAAACTACAACTTAACTCTCACAACTCCAGCTGAGAAATTATTAACAAACACCAGTTACAGATGTGAAACTGTTGGGACAACTGATAAAAGTAAATGCAGTGTACTCCTGGAGAGAAACTGTCACATCTAAAGTCAAGTCTACAGAAAACAACTTAATAAATTGGCAGAATCTACTGATGAAGTACACAGACTATCTCAACCTGCCCCTTTTTCGACCTTCTCATGCTACCTTTTTTTCTTAGTTACTCTTCCTTCCCCTCTCTTCTTTCTCCTCCCTAGTTTCTCTCCTTGCCCTTTGTACTCCAGTTTCCCTGCTGTGTTGCATGGCCTTCCTTTGGTGTCTCCCCAGTCTCTATACCAAGAGCCCCCTCTATCCCTTTGGCAGTTCAGGAAGTATCAAGTGTTTTTTTTTTCCTCTTTGTCTTTCCTTCAGCCCCGTGTTTTGGTGGTGGATTGCATCAGACACAAGTCAAATACTGCCTAAGATGCTATTACAAAGAAAAAAATGAAAACTGTGTAATTAAAACTTTGTAGAAATTGATGAACATTTTTTAATACAGCATTCTGAATTAATAGCTGTAAAGGGTTAGTGAGTGAATAGATTATTTGTTAATACTAATGAATGGTCCTGAAAGTATGTTGACATAAAAGAAAATTAATATTTAAAAATAAGTAGAAAAATGTTTGAGTAAGCCAGGAAATTTCTATATGAAACAGTAAAAATTTGTAATTAAGCTGTTCTGTGACTTGGATTTTGACAAATAAGTGTTTCTTAAAATATTTGAAGTGCCAGGGATACAGCTTACTTGCCTAGTGGGTGAAAGTCCCTGGGTTTGATCCCTAGCACGGTCCAAAAAAAATAAAAGAAATTGAAAATTAAAAATCATGCTTCTAAATATTTGTGACTGTAAGATGAAGTCATTATGAGCACTAGGAAATATTTGGGAAATAATACTTGGACCTTAGTGATAAGCTACTACATATAGAAACCGTGGGACATCTAAACTGTCCTTAGATAGACACAGCTTAACAAGAGATTCAGGAAGATAATTTGATAAAATTCACATCAATTCATAATAATTCTCAGCCAATTAATCATAAAAGTTTTTTTAAGCTGATAATGTGGATAATATAAATGTACAGCAAATATTTTATTGGATTGTGCAATGTTGAAAGCATTTCCATTAAACTGTGAATACATTTAAGGTTTCAGCTTTAATCACTTTTCATTTAGTGTTGCAGAGGAGCTTCTAGTTATTAACCTAGCAGTTCAAAGATGAAGAAATAGAAGGTTTAAGGATTGAAAGGGACAGCTGGCCTTATTATTCATCAATGATGTAATTCTCCGTATAAAAAATATCCTAAGTATCTGCAGATAAATTATAAACACTAGAAAGATTGTTAAGCAGGGTTATTAGATACAAGACCAGTATTTAAAAATTAGTAACATTTTTGTATAGCTAGCAATCAGCAATTAGAAAATAAAATTTTATTTTATTTTAGGTAGCATTATAAGAATGCTACCTAAAATAATAAATGATAATGTACCTGAGAATAAATCTAATGAATAATAGATTTCCTGTCATTTCAAGGTACATTGTTGCATCTCTTAATGGTTGTTGCCAGTGGAAGCACATTGTTATAATTTACTAAAAACATCCAGTTTTTCTGTAGTAATCACTGTTTAAAAAGCCACCCACCATTTATTTGTAAAATGGAATATATTCAAATTATTTCATTTTCTGTTTAATGTTTATTAAGTACTTAGTATGTCTAGGTGCAATACCTAAGTTTTATATAAAGTTTCTGACCTTGAAAGATAATATTAAAGAATGTGAATGTTAAGTTTGTAAGCAAAGACATACTGTTAAATGTTTCAGTTTTGATAAATACAAATCATAGTACAGCAGAAGTATAAAAGAATCACCAGTGTGTAGAGAAGATTGGCAAAGGGGTCATGGGTCTTCATAGGCGAGAGTAATACTAAGCTAAGTCTCAAGGAACTAGGTGTTTGCTGCACTGCTTACTCTGTTATGGTCAGACTAAAAATGTAGGACAGAATATATCACCAATTCAGAGTCAGTCTCACTGGGTGTGAAGAAGCATGGAGCTTAAGTTTATGATGAAGTATGATCACATGCTTCATGGACATTTAAATCTTTAAGTGAAAACATGTACTTCCTCTTTAAAGATTACTTAAGTGTTATTACTTCTTAAAGGTTAGATGAATGAAACAACTGATTCAAATTAAGCCATTTTTATGTTGGAAGAATTGAACCATTTACCTAATATAATTTGATTCTAGCAAAAAAATGTCTTTACCTATTTCTCACATTTGGATACAGAAAATTTAAAAACTTAAGTAGAGCCTATTTTCTGTCTTGTCTGCTGTTTTTAAGCTATTCACCCAATGGAATATAAATTTGCCATATAATGGGATTATTTTCCAATACTATGAAATTATGGTGGCTTTGGGTTTCTAGTAGCTAAGGATTTGTGGTCTCATCTCTGTATTTATAAAAACCACTCAGTAAGAGGTCACTATATATTTTTTATTGTGACAAAATATACATAACATTAAAATTACTATCCTAACCATTTTTAAGTGTTCAGTGGCATTAAGTACATTCACATTGTTGAGCAGCCATCACCACCAACCATCTCCCAACTTTTTTTTATCACCTCAGACTGAAATACTGTTGTCTATTAAGTAATAACATTGCATTTTCCCCTCCTCCAGCCCCTAGTAACTACTTATTCTGTCTTTATAAATTTGACTCTTCTAGGTAATTAGTATAAATGGAAATATACCATATTTGTCCTTTTGTGTCTGGCTTATTTTACTTAACATAATATCTTCAAGAGATTATTATGATTTAAAAATAAATTCAAGCTTGGGAATTGATGGGGAAGTTAATTTAGGTAGAACCTGTCTGAGTACTAAAGCAAAGGCATAGAATATTAAAAAGAAAAAAAAATCTATTTGGAGAGTTTATCTGGCAGTGAAGAATTATTGGTCCGTGATCTGACAGAATAAAGAGCCAGAGAAGTAAGCCCTGCTTTCTTCTGGCTAAGATCTCTGTTCTCCTAGAGACATAATGTAAGTTTTGAAAAAGGGGACTGAGGATACAAGCAGAGTTTTGGAAGATTGACATCTGGGTAAAATATAACCAAAATTAGAGTTTAGGCTCTGCTAATGAAGTGGAGGGATTGTCTTAGTATTCTCTCAGGTCATGAACCCAGAAGCCCATACTGTAGGAAGAAGTTTGATTTAGAATTAGACTGACCTTTACAAGCACTAATTATTTCAATCACTGTATAGATAAAGATAATTTGAATCTGTTAGTTTTCTGAGCTGCCTGCCAGAAGCAAATGTAAGTCTCTCTGAAAAAATTTTAACATCATTGTAGGGCTCAAAATTTCTATATATTTGACTATACCCAGTGTCTGACACTTAATCAAAATAACCAGGCATATAAAGAGACAAAAAGAACAATCATAGAATAGACCTACTGGGTAATCTAGTTAATGGTATTATCAGAAATGCCCTTTTTTTTTTTTTAACAAGATGTCCCAGAAGGCAACAATTTAAAATCAGACAATCAGTAATCATAACTAAATACAAAATTTCATGTAAACTTGCGTTTCAAAATAAAATCAGACCCTTGCAACAGAATTGCCCAGGAGTTTTTCTTATATAAAAACAGTTAATATCACTTTGCAAAATGCATACAAAAATACAGTATTAAAAAAAAAAAGACTCACCTCAGCATAATACCTAGTAGCTTATAAAACACAAGCTATTCAGGTGAGACATTAGTGACCTGTTCCCCACCTATCCTCCCAAGACAATTCCAGAAGTCAGTTGGCTCCTGAAAATCCAACTCCAGAAGGTAGAGGCTAGCTCTAAAACTTTCACTTGAATTCTGAGGCCAGGAAGCAAACTCACAAAGAAATCATTGTGTGGACTCTAGGTTTGGAAGTAGCAGCTGGTTTTACAGAGCCACAAATTGTGCTTTCCATTCTCCCACCCCCTTCTGGGCCGCAGAAGGCCTGGTTCTTCTCCCAAGACAGGCTTAGTGGTTTCCTGTGATTGCCAGCATGACACCTGCTGGGTTGGGTGACTTTCTCAGATTGGAGGCTACACCTGAATTTCACTCAGAGCTACAGAGTCCAGTTGGAGCAAAATCCATCATGGTTGAGAGATGCCTGCTGTTAAACAACTCAGTGATAGATGGGGTTTACAACAAATTAGAAAAGATTCAAAATAATTGGTGAACTGGAATATAGGTCAAAAGGAACTATTTAGACTGAAGGCAAGGCATCTAAGCAAAGATGGGATACATTAAAAAGATACTTATGGACTAATTAAGGTACTTATGGACTACTGAGAAAATGTATAATATATGTATAGGGTCCCAGGAGAAGAGGAAAGAATAAGACTGAAACAATAATCCAAGGGACAATGAACAAAAATTTTAAAAGTGATGAAAGAACATCAGCTTAGAAATGCTATAAAACTTTGATAAATACAAAGAAAACTCTGTGTGTGTGTGTGTGTGTGTGTGTGTATCCATCATATTAACCACTGTAAAGTACTTATAGCTTAAACTCTTTAAGAGAAGTCTGTGAAAAAAAACTTTTGAGAAACAATAAGCTGTCATATGGAACTGGGGATGCAGTTTAGTGGTTAGAGTGCTTACGAGCATGCATGAGGTCCTGGGTTTAATCCACAGTATCTCCCTCCAGCCCCTCCCCCCAAAAGGAATTAAAGAATAGGCAAGTAAAGCCAAGTAAAAAAGAAAAGCCAAACACATGGGCATCTCAAGAGATGTCAAAAAAACTCTTGATAACATGCAGTCATGATGAAAACTCATAGCTTTCAAGGAATCAGAGTACTTCCCAAGTCTGATTAAAATTATGTATAAAAGTATTATGTGAAAGATTATATTTAAGGGTGAATTTGAGAAAGTTTCCCCTCTAATATCAGTTCAGAGGAAAAGATACTTGATATCACTATGCCTTTTCAGCGTTGGATTTCAGTTCCTAGTCAGTGTATGAAGGTAAGAAAAAGAATTAAAATATATAAGAATTGGAAAGGAAGAAATAAAGCTGATGTTTATTTTGGATGACATGGTTATATAATTGTGGGGGGGGGGACCTGAATATAATCATTAGGATTAATAGTAGATTAAAATAGTTAGAATTTATAAATATATTAGGTTAATAATAGATTAGAATTAATAAATATTTTAACAAAGCTGGGTACATTATCATTATGTAAAAATCCTCAGGTTATAATTTATCAGATACCTAAAAAAATTAATAAAAAGTGTTCAAGACCCCTATCAAGCATTAAATACAAAATAATTAGAGGGTGGTATATGATATTCATCAGTTAGATTAATTTTAAGGTATTATAGATTGATCAGTTCTATCTTAATCAAAATCCCAAAAATTATTGGTGGAAATTGACAACCAGAGTATGAATGATAGCTTTACATGAAAAACTGAGAATAGCCAAAGTAATATTAAGGAATGAAATAAGAGAACAAACTGCAGTGGCTTTTGAAGTGGCATTAGGCACTATTGTATTGGCAAAAAGTTAGGCATATTGACCATTAGGGCAAAATAGAGTCATAAGGACACTTGATTTATGAAAAAAATTAAGCCTGCAGCACAGTTACAGATGAATTGAATCAACTGGACAGCCATATTGAAACAAATAGGAACTTGAACCCTATATCACATCATAGGCATAAATCAATTCCAGTTGGATTGGGATGCAAATGTGAAAGGTAAAATAATAGAGCTTATATAAGTTGGCATTACCTTTTTTTTTTTTAAAGAGAGAGAGAGAGAGAGAGAGAGAATTTTAAAATTTATTTTTTAGTTTTCGGCGGACACAACATCTTTGTTTGTATGTGGTACTGAGGATCGAACCCGGGCCACACACATGCCAGGCAAGCACGCTACCGCTTGAGCCACATCCCCAGCCCCTGGCATTACCTTTTTATGACCTTGGGATTGAGAAACATTTCCTAACAGGACATAAACAAGTATTAATAATATAAAGGAAAAGATCACTAATTTGAACTGAATAGAAGTGAATAACTTCTGTTCATCAACACACTTCTAAGGGTGAAAAGGTAAGTCATGGAATGGAAAGAGATAATTTACCACAATGCAGAATGTACAAAATGCATGTACAAATCAATGAAGGAAAAGATGGACAACTCAGGAGAAAAATGGGCCAGAGATTTATTAATTTAAGCAAGTATTCACAAAAGAAGATATACCTCATTAATAATCAGGGAAGCACAGGCTAAAACATAATAATAAAATAGTTGTACCTCAGAATTGCTAAAATAAAGTGGGGCTGGGGATGTGGCTCAAGCTGTAACGTGCTTGCCTGGCATGTGCGGGGCGCTAGGTTTGATCCTCAGCACCACATAAAAATAAAGATGTTGTGTCCATTGAAAACTTGAAAAAAAAAAAAAAAGAATTGCTAAAATAAAAACCACCGTTACCAGTTGTGATACTGTGTGGCATGTTGAGTAGCACAAACTGTTGTATGTGGCTGTGAGAGTGAATTGATAACAACCAATTTAGAAAGCTACTTGGAGTTTTCTACTCAAGTTGAACATGCATATGGCCTGTGCTAATTCTACCTCTGGGTATATACCCATCAAAAATGTATGTTAGTGTATACCAAAAGACATTTAGTAGAATGTTCATAATATCATTGTTTGTAGTAACCCCAAACTACAAATAGTCCAAATGTTCATTAATGGGCAAATGAGTAAATAAACACAACTTATACAAAGGAATACCACATAAAGCAATGAAAATGAATGAAGCTTAACTGCATGCAACAAATGGGTGGTTCTTATAAAGGTTATTTTAAAGAAAACGCAGATACATTTATCAAACATAATGTGTAACTATTCTTGTATAAAATCAAAAAACCTGCAAAACTAGTACATAATATTGAAATGTGATTAGTGCCCTTTTGGGGTTGGGCAGGAGTCTTTAAGGCCTTTCTGGTGTTAGTATTCTATTTATGTGTTTATATTACTTCAGTAAACAAAAATAGAATTTATAACTTATTTAATGAGAGGAACAGATGTGCTTTTGTTTTGCTGATATATACATATATATGTATGTATATATATATTTTGGGGCGGTACCAGGGATAGAACCCAGGGGGCACTCAACCATGGAGCCACATCCCCAGCCCTTTTTTGTATTTTATTTAGAGACAGGGTCTCACTAAGTTGCTTAGTTTCTCGCTGTTGCTGAGACTTGTTTTGAACTCTGGATCCTCCTGCCTCACCCTCCCAAGCTGCTGGATGTGGGCCACCACACCCGGCTGTTTTGTTGATTTATTTTTTAACCATCAGATGGAGTAACTTCTGTCAGACTTAGAACTGCAAACTGCTTTGACTCTAGATTTCTGTTTAACCATTTTTGACAAGGTATATTAGGAATAAATTTGAGTGAGTATGTAGTTAGGATTTGTCTATCTCCTTGATTTTGCCAGTTATTAGCTTGATCTTTATAAATAATTATTGTCTTTTAGGTTGTGATAAATTGTGCCATTCCTAAAGGGTTGAAGTACAATCAGGCTACACAAACCTTCCACCAATGGCGAGATGCCAGGCAGGTGTATGGTCTCAACTTTGGCAGCAAAGAGGATGCCAATGTCTTCGCAAGTGCCATGATGCATGCCTTAGAAGTGTTAAATTCACAGGAAGCAGGTAAGGTATCTGTACTTTCCTTGTGTTCTTAAACTGAAGTGCTTTGGATACGTTGAAGCAAATCTTTTTGTCAGCCTTTAAATGATGTATTTATTTCAAGTAATTCTTGAATTTCTTTTATTTTCTACAAAAATGTGAACTTATGTGTTGACAGTAATAGTCCAGAAGGATGATCCTTTGAGTTTACTTAGTTTTTAACCTTCACATATGAAGTTATTGAGTTTGGTGTCTCCTGCTGTAACAATTCAATTTTTATTGCTAGAACATGAGGTCATACAGTAGGAAAGAATAATGCATATTTATCTTTTTTTTTTTAATTTACTTTTTTATGAGGAAACACACTTTTTCTGAAACACATTTTTTAAGCCACTACTGAGCCCATGAACTACAAGTAGAACAAGTTCTCCTTCCTTGGAGATTAAAACCTAATTCCAAAAGTTATTTGAAGTTTGAGGAGTGCCCTCCGGTGGTACAAGCCGGGAATTGTTTCTTCTGATGCTGCCTATTGCTTAGAAGATGTTTATGAATAATTCACTTTTAAAAACCTTAGGGTTTAAAGCTGTATTTGTGTCAGGGATAAGCTCAGTTTTGTTTGGTTTATGAAATAAAAAGAAATACACCAGGGTGTGCTTATTTCTTTGGGGAAAATAGATTTTATAATTTGAGAAATAAATGTTACATTATAAGAATAATGCAAATGATTACTCTTTCCAGTATTGTGTGTTCAGTAATGATTCTAATCATATAACTCCGTTATGAGCAGAATTTATGTCTTTTAATAGGAAGAGTTATTCAGATGAAAATTCGATATTTTGTGGAAGGTATAAAATTTTAAAATCTATTATAAATAGGTTATATTTATACCTTGCCTTATTCCAAAAAGGGGATTTAAACATTTAGTTCGTGTGTTAGTCTACTTCACATGTGACATTTAGAGCAAGAATTTTGGGATCTTACAGAAACTTTAATGTTGTTCTTCCTGTACATAAGTTAAATTAGATCTTCTTTTGAGAGGAAATCAATATCTATAGGTAACTTGTACCTTATCATGTTTTATTTATTTTGAGGAAATAAACCACTGGAACTCATTCTGATTCTAGTTATTGAAAAGAGCATAGGAAAGTCTGTATTCTCTCTTGATAAGTCACTGCTTTTCTTGAAGGCATCAATATTTTATTTTATCTATAGAAAGTATAGAATTGCTTTTATTCACCTTAGTTTTACCATAGGGAAGAAGCTATAGTTGTGATTCTTAATATTTTATTAAATAGGTCAATTCCACAGTTCAGAAAATATAAGTATGATAATATTTATCTTATCCATGTTTGACACAGACTACCATTATTTTTATTTCTGAGTCTTCAGATTGATATTAGGAATTAAATATTGTTTAGCATAGTTCAAAAGAATGTTCATCTTGTTATTTTTTTTTAACCAAATGGAAAGGATTGTTTTTATCAGTGAATAGTCTCATAGTTTGCTTTCAAAGTGCAAATGATAATAATGCTGATCCTTTGTAATTGTCTTAATGTGAAAAGACTCAATTACATTCTTTCATTAAAATTTAATTTATTCTCTGGGGATTGAACCCAGAGAAGTTTAATCACTGAGCCTTATCCCAGGCCTTTTAAATTTTTCTTTTTTTTAAATTTTGAGATGGGGTCTCCCTGAGTTGCTTAGGGTCTAAGATGTTGAAGCTGGCTTTGAATTTTGGATCCTCCTGCTTTGGCCTCCAGAGTTGCTGGGATTACAGGCCTGGCTCAGTTATATTCTCTTGTAAACTCATTAAGAAACAGTGTTTCACATATAGAAAGATTGGCAGAACAGGAGACTCACCCATCATTTCACTAGCTACAGAAGCATTTTGGACTGCCAAAAAGAAAAAAAAAATTAATAGAGTTCTTCTTAGATGACTTTGATACTCTCTTTTCTGTCACAGTCTCAACCAATAATACTAGGGACTAAGGAAACAGAAATAATGGGGTTGGCACGTGCCTGTAATCCCAGTGGTTTAGGAGCCTGAGGCAGGAGGATTGCAAGTTCAAAGCCAGTCTCAGCAACCTAGCAAGGCCCTAAGTAACTTAGTGAGACTCTTGTCTCTAAATAAAACATAAAAGGGGTTGGGGATGTGGCTCAGTGGTTAAGTGCCCCCTTGGTTCAATCCCTTCTACCCCCACCCCTCCCCCCCAAAAAAATAGAGGAAGATAATGGTGGGAGGAGCTCGTCCATGTTAAACATCTCTGCATTGTGGATCAAGTCACTGGCAAACAAGCTTTTGATTCTTTAGTTTTTTCCACTGGAGAAAGCAAAACATTATAATGGTCAGTGTTCTAAATAGTCTAAATAGTGTTCTAAATAGGAAATCCCTGTTTTCATAAATTACTTTAAACATTAATTTCTTATTTTTTATGGTATTAACTGGCCCCAGAAGTAGGAACATGGAAAGAGGTTGATGTTAAGAATCAGCAAGAGTGTCCTTGGAAAGGGTTATAGTTTCTTGTGCAGATTAAAGTAGAACATGTATGTTTCTTACTGCAGTATTATTATTTAGATTCCCTCCCATTCACTAAACAAACATACCAAATAATATCACTTCTCAGTATGCTCATATCTCCCCCTGCCAAAGCTGTTTGCATTGGGTTCCCAGCCAATTCCCTGCTGAAATTGTCTACTGTCTTTTTTTTTTTTTTTTGCCAAAACCAAGTTGAAAAAGCTTAATTTGCATGTCTTTTCCCTAAACAAATAGCCCAATAAAACTGATCAGAAACAAAAGAATATATTCTTTCATAAAAGAAAAGCAACTACAGTCATCAGTCTTGCTTATTTTTTAATGTTTTACCACTTTTTTAAAAACCATTTTCCAGTATTTAATGTTTGTTTTTGTTTTATTTTAAGTGTTGTTAATATTAACTACTGTCATTGTGATTTTCAGACTTTTAAAAGTTGTGGACACCTTTGTTAAAACAAAATCTTTTGCTGAAGCTCAGTGTATAAATGCAACCACTCCTTCCCCTACAAAGGTGTTTTTCTGATTAATGTAGAGTTTAGGCCCACTGCCACGAAGGTGCCTACCTGTATGGTTCTTTAGAGGAGGATATGAAAATTATCCATTTTTCTTGGCAAAACCAACAATCACACAATCCTACTTTCCTCTTCCCCTCTCCCATCTCCCAAGTCCTCTAAATCCTCAATTTCTTTTAAGTTAAGGAAAAGCATCTTCCTTTGAGTCTAATTGTTCAGACCTTTACAAGATGGTGTGTGTGTGTGTGTGTGAGAGAGAGAGAGAGAGAGAGAGAGAGAGAGATCATTTTTTATGAAAAGGGTGGGTGGCAGAATGTTTTCCTTTATTTTGTTTTTAACATGGTGTGCAATTATCTAATATACTGGAAAGTACAGGAGGTGCTAAATACAGTGAGTTATATTTGGAATTTAAAAAAACATCACATGTACTAACATTTTTGAAAAAGAGCTGAATTAGTGCTCTTCCTTTTAGACCAAATGCTACAGTCTATCTTTTCTCCAGTGGAAATTGATTCCATTTTAAACAATTGTACTATTCAGACTGATAATTTCATTTGTATTATTTATCATGTACATCTTTAAGTTTTTGTAGATAATAGTTATGGGTTATGTAAAACTGCATTGTCAGTCCTTATGATGATTGTTGGAGATAAATTCGCACAATGTTTTATTTTGTAAAAGGCTTAAATCATTTAGAAATGGGAATTTTTTAAAATACATTTTTTTAAAAGAAAATGATATACATAGCTAGCAAGATTATTCTGCTTTTGTTCTACTCAGCCTAGATGAAGCATAGCTTTCCAGAAGGAAAACCTTAAAATACCATTAGCTAAAAGACAACTTTTGTTAGATTTATTTTTCTATTTTTTGTCAATGAGAGCATAGTCAAAGATGTTTCCTTGTGATTAAAATTTTTATCAGATTTTATAATAAGTATTGAGACTTCATTCATTTTTTTTTTCTCCTTTAGTGGTAACTTGGTCTGATGTTCCTTCCAGTATGAGTGTTTATGTGACTTTTATTGTCAGAATTATTTAAACTCTTGGTAATGTGTTTAGAATTAATTGGATTTTAAAATCTCAAGAAGTTTCTAGAAATAGTTTGTGTATAATAGTAATCTTATTTTCCGGTCTTTTAGATTGATGATATTCATGGGAGCAGTATCATGCTTCTGTCACAGAAAAATGCCATCAGCTAACAGGTTTTGGATATAAGTTCTGTGGTAGGCACTGGAATGATACTAACATGATAAAGTCTATCCCTTCCCTTCCACAACTTCATAACTGGGCTGGAGCTAGCTAGAAAGAAGGCCAGCAAAATTAGGATGCAGTCTGTGAATGGAGTATGAAGAAAGGCTTTTGGCATACCAAAGAAAATTCTAGAGCAAGGGAAAGCTTTGAGGATAAGATGTTTGAGCTGTTATTTGAAAAAGGATTAGACCTCATCAGTGATAAAGCATTTTAGAAAGACTTGGATACATGAGAATGTGGAACAGTTGGGAAACAACAGATAAACTACGTTGTGGTTTGGCCCTGAAAAATTATATGGTGTGAATCCCTAAAGAAACGACTGGAAAGGTTGTGAAGGGCTATTGTTCTTGCCGAGTAGTAGTATGAATTTTATCATAAAGAGTCATTGAAGAGTGTTCAATGAATGTTTGATATGATCAGGTTTGTGTTTTAGGATAAGTGTGATGGACTGGTTCCACTGCCAAGTTACATCATGAAAACCAATTGTGATGATATTGGTGACATGGTAGAGAGAGAAAAGGAACAGAGTGAAGAGGAAGTGACCAAATTTTACTTTGTGCCTCCTCTGTCTGTGAAGGCATTGTTCTAGCCTTTTGCATGCATCCTCAGTTAGTCAATTTCTTCTTACCATGTCAGTAAGATGTAATGCCAAGAAAGAGAGAATATTTTGAGATGACAACTACGTGTAACAATTTAGGCCACTGTTGAAGATGGTACCATTAACCAGAG